GTCTGCCCCGAAGACGCTGCATCCTGGCGGCTGCAGCCACAGGCCGGCACTGATGGTGGCACATCCTGGGTGCCACAGCCACAGGTCTGCATTCCTGGTGGCACATCCTGGGTGCCGTAGCCGTACCCCTGCATGGCAAAGGGCACCTCCTGAGGGCCGTAGCCGTAAGGCTGCATGGGTGGCAGCATGCCCCGAGCGCCGTAGCCGTACGCCTGCACTGGGAACGGCATCTCCCGAGGGCGATAGCCGTACGCCGGCACTGATGACAGCAGGTGTGGAGCGCCATAGCCGTAAGCGTGCATCGACGGCGGCACGCCTGCAGCACCGTAGCCATAAGCCTGTGCCGATGGCAGTGTATCCTCATCATCGCTGCTGTCACCCTCTGATGACGATGGCGCATCTCGAGTGTCACTGCCACAGGCCGCTGTTGATGCTGACTCCTCTTGAACGTCGCTGTTGTGAGCCCGCGCTGACGGTGGCACATCTGCAGTGCTGCTGCCGGTGGCCTGTGCTGATGGCACCTGTTGCTTTTGTGCTGCTGTCTCCGTTTCCAGTTTTTCAGAGGAGGTTTCAGGACTGTTCAAATTCCGACTTCTGTAATTATCATCTTTCTTTTGTCCCATGAAGTAATCAGAAGGAGGCGCAAATTCTGGATCTCTCTCATCTCTGAGTTCTTCCTGTTTCTTTGACCATTGTCCAAACATCAGTTCTGTTAGAAACAGGGAAAATGGTAGATTGAATGTGCATTTCAGGGTCTGAAGATCAGTCAGAAAGGAGGGAAAACAAATTGCTGTGTAAAGCCATTTGAAGTTACTTTTCCATCTAGTACTAGACTGGTGGCTAAGGTGACAGTCCCCACTTTCTTTACAGAGCAGGAACAAAAGCACTGAGCATTGAAGATAACCACCATCCTCTACAGATCTCATCCTAGTCACTTTAAGATCCTTTAACAGTGTGGTCATTGGTTATGGAAAACTAACTAATTAGGGGTGAATCAAAATACAAACCAATCAAAGCATTAAGAGCTTAGTTATAAGAAGACAGAGAAGATGAGATTATCTCTAGTCACCACAGGCCAAACCCAGCAACTTCTTTATTTCAACAGAAGAGGTAGATATTCTAGTTACTATGCCAGCTGCTGGTATCTGATTAAAAATAGTTTTGAAGTGCTGCAATGGAATGACAGCTCAAGATCATCACACTTAAAAAGATATCCCCAAAACCTACTCTGAAGATATCTCCCAAACCTACTCTCTAAAGCCAGTAAAATTCTTTTCAGTATTCATTTCTATCAAGACTTCTGTAAGAAATGAAGTAGAAAATTTTGATACTCAAGGGCTACAAATTTGTCTGATGTAGCAAAATAAAGTCCCAGTCAGAGCAGGACTTCTTCCTTTGCTTTGGTAAAAATATAAAAAATATGAAATAGTAAGGAGGAAAGCATCTAAGAGTGAGGAGTTTTGCTTCTCTCTTCTCACACTAATTTAGATGCTTGTGTTACATTCATGTTCAGTGAACCACAGTTATTTTACTTCACATTTTAGAGTAAGCTGTCCTCTGCTTTCTGAGTGTAATATTTATTGTGTAAATAACCAGGGCTGCGTGGGTGTCAGTCAGACACTCAGACTGCTCAGAGGCAGGAAAAAAAAGTGTTGGGCAGGATAAAGACTTAAAAGACAGGACCTGAAAGTTTTGGTTTTTAATTGAACCATAAAGTTTCCCCTCAGATGTTCAGTAACTGAACAGAAAGAGACTGAAAAATATAAAGAAGCTGGAAATATCAGTATTGCACAGAGTAGGAATGGTGCAGTTACAGGAGTACTAGAGGAGATGGACATCTCTGTGCTTTGCTTACTCCTTGTTTGCTTTTACCTAGAACTCAGGCATCAGACTACAAAATGTGCATGAGCTTAGATTAATGGTGCAAAAGGAGTTAATGGGTTTGGGAAGGATCTGGCAGACGACAATCACTTGATGTTGTGACAAGGAAGATGCTTCAAGATGGGACATTGGCACTGAAACGGTCTCTGCTTGCAACACTTTTTAGTATTGTCCTGTACCTGTTTCAGTGTGATACATCCTGACACTGTGTAGCACAAACCACAGAAATGCAGCAAGAAAAGATCAGACTGAAAGATGGTAAATCTTGGGAACGATTAAATTTGTCATTCTGTCAACCTCTCTGCATCATCCAGAAATTGAATAATAGAAGAAAAAAATTATGAGGACATTCTAGCAGCTACTGGCAGTAAGGCATGCCTTGTCAATCACTGCACTGGAGACTGGACAGTCACCAATCCAAAGGGAGAAAGTATTTAATTGCTTCTCAGTCTCACCATACTTTGTCACAAACCAGAAATGAAAGTAGCAGTGTGCACACTGCTTCCAAACAGTGTTTCTGAATCTGCATTTCCTTACCTTTGCCTTTATCCCACTCGCGGACGTAAGGCACACCAGGCTTTGTATCTCTTCTCTCCTGGATGACAACCTCTACCTTTCTACTTGCTGCAGTAACTCTTGGAGCTTCTGGTTCGTCAGCAACACTTTTCACTTCTGTGTTACAGGAAGAGATAGTAGGTTTTGTTAGTAACGGGATAAAATCTATATGAACTTCATAGGAGGAATAGGAAGCAAGAGTTATTTGCATTTACAGAGCTCATACTAGTGATCTAATTTAATTCTAATAATGAAATGCATCTGAGTGGGGAGGTGATTTTTTTTTAAATACTGCATATTAGTTCAGAAAATATAATGGGTAAGCCAGATAATCAGGGAGTTTATCTACCAAGAAATGCTTCATTAGCTTTCTAGTTGTATCAAAAAGTCTGATGAAAATCTATTGCCTAATAACCCAAAAAGGAATATGATGAGTGTTATACTGAAGCTAGAAAATTAAGTAAAAATAAGAACATTAGCATGTTATCTCCATTTCATTTACTGGAAAAAAAACCCAAATGGCATTCTTATTCTTCTGAACAACAGTAACATTTAGCAGTGCCACATTACTGCACTTTGTTTCCAGGACACTTCACAGTTCATCACTTGCACAGAATTCTGACACAGTGAGGTATTAGCTACATTTTACAGTGGGAGGGAGACAGTACAAGTGACTAGCAGTGTCATAAGGGAGACAGCGCAGCGATGGGATTACAACTCAAATTCATCACCCCAAATCCTAAAGTCAGCTGGATGTCCAATTTACAGACTGCACTGAAACTGTAGGCATGTATATTATAGGATATCAAAATTGTTACTACTTTTTATTCTACCTCATCTTGGAAAAGAAAAAGCCAGTAAAATTTCAGCAGCTCTAACCTCAACCTACATAATTAACCCACATAATTCCTAAAAAATCAAAAAAAGCCTACAATCTACCTATCACATTTCTACCTGCATTACTAAACTATTTCTGGCATGATTTCATATCTACACACAATCATAAGAACTCTCACTATCTTAACAGTTATACTAATTGTATATATAGAATATGTAATACTAATAAATTGAATGTCCAAACCTAAATCAATTAAGGATGCCTGTCCATCGATCAAGTACAAGATGAAATACCAAGTATTTAACTTGAAAAGGCAAATTATACCTCTGTTCTCCAATCTGTCTGCCTCTTCCTCTAATCCAGCTTCTCTTAACTTCTTAATCTTCCGTGCTCGAAGTTTAGACAGCCTTGCATCTAGAGCTGCCTTCCTTTTTTCTTTTAACTGTTCACGTTTAGTCCTCTGATCGAGTGTCTTAACAGCAAAGAAAAACAGGAATTAATCTCCCTTTGTTATTACAATCAACTACACATCTTCCTTCACTGAAGAACTAAAAGCAATCCTCATCAAGCAACATGTCTCAAAAGGGAAAAAGCCTGATTTTTTTGTAGCCAGCTGCAGGCATCACTTAGTACAAGACTTTGACCACTGAAACTCGGATGCCCTCATACCCCAGTTTGCTCTTCAAACTCCTACCTGCTCTCTTAGCATATCCAGTGTTGCTCGTTGTTTATTCCTAAGTTCTTTGTCACGAGAAAAGGCAAAGTAACCAACACCAAGCTGTCTGGCCTCTGAAAAGAAGAAAATCAGTAAATTTACGTTACACTCAGGTTTATAATTGTCAGTAATTATAAGCACCATGCACCCTGATTTCAGACACTGAATTACTCTCGACAACATACACCACATTAGTTTTAGATGGCTAAAAAGGGCTTGTTTTAGTTGATGCATGAAGTGAAGTTTCCTAAAGAAGAGCACAAGAGGAGGTAATGAAATTTGAAAAATACATTTGAGAAAATTATAACTTGATGGAAAATAAATCAAGATTTATGTACTGGTAATTTGAATGGTTATTGCACATGTGGCTTAACACATACCTACACTTTGCTGTATAGGCACAAGAAGTAACGTTCCCTTTCTTCCTCTAAAACTAATCTCTTGAGTGACACAAAGATAAGTGATATAAAGTATGGAAGTATACCATTTTCTCTAATGTCCTCATAGTGTATGGGTCCCATGGGTTTTCTGAGGGCTTCTTCTTCTTCTTTTTCCCACTGCTGCCTCTGAAGTTCTTTCCTCATGTCTTCAGATAACAGAGTATTCCCATCAAGGCCTTGTCTAATTAAAAACCAACCAAACAAAAACCCAACAAAATTAGGGATTACAGAGCAGAACTTACCAGTTTTATAGTATCAAACAGTGAAAGTGTGATTGGGTCTGATCCACTGTCACAGTTTTTACCAAACACAGATCATTGTAGGCACCGTTTAGGGATGCAGCATTGATGACTGGTACATGGTGAAGACCAGAATACAAAACTACCTCTGAAACAAGGTACTAGTAAGAACAGGTTATTCAAAGACTTAAACAATACCATATCCTTTCTCAGAAGCTTTGTGAAAGCATTATAAAATCACAGAATGGGAGATGAAATAATCACTTTTATTGACAACTGTTGGGATTCTAGCAATCACATACAGAAACATCCCGTATTTAATGTAAGAAAATGAAAGATATTTGAAATAAGAAAAAGCTAGTCATTAATTTACCCTAGAAGTCCATGCGAAATATTAATACCCAATATGAGAAATATCCATATCAATGCAGAGACTGCAATTTCAAAGCACTCCTATTCTCCACCTCATGTTTAAAATATGGAGAACACACTAATGAGTTGTTAGCATGAAAGAATTTTCACTTCAGCAACAGCAAGGGCTCAGTTGAGGTGCCTTTAGATTATTTTCTGAAAACAATTCTCAGTGCTGCCATAATAATTTTGAATAGCTGTTAAACAGCTGTTTAACAAAAGAGCAAAACCAAACAAATAGAGATCTAACAAATTTACTCTGACTGCCACGATGAATCTGGAATTGCTAAAAGACTATCATCAATTTCCAGGCTAAACAAAATTAGGAATCACTTCTCTGGCATTTTCTGGCAGGTAAATTAAAATACAATTTCCATACAAAGACCACAGTTTTAAAAGATGCATCAAATACCTGAGAGATTGCCAAGTTCATTTATTAGAACTTTTCTCTGCAAACTGTGCTCCATAAGTGATGTTTTAGATTCAGTCAGCTTTTACATCAAAAAGTGTCCTTCAGTAGTAATTAAAATTTTCATTTAGGCTTTTATTTGATATCCATGGCCACCATTCTGTTGCAATTTAAAACCAATACACCAGCCATGTATTTCAAATGGTGAACTGCCAGGGTGAAATAAAATAGAAGCCTTGGAATACTATATGAATTTATAACAGGCAGTTTTGATAAAAATCACAGTCATCCACAATTGCTCTGCAGCTACTCTTGTCTATTTTTTAAGTTACAATGTAATAACCAGCAGAAGTTGGTGTAAAATATAACTAGAGTAAGCAGTGGCATCAACAATTCTGGATCGAGACTGGGATAACAAAGAACAGCCTATCTTCCCTGCTGTTAAAACTGTGTATGTTAAACACTGCAAGGAACATGCACTTCCATCAGAGAAACCACACCTTTTCCCTTGAAGTTCCTGATCCATTTTAAGTAGACTTGGCAAATCCTTCTTCATACAGCGTCTCGATCGGCCCAAGAAATCAACATAATCAACCCTGCAATGCAAGCAAAGGAAATTTGATGAAGAACTTCTATCTGCAGATTTTCAGAACTCTTAACCAGAAGACGGAAGCACTGACGCTTTCCAAAGAGTTTTCATCACCTCTCAGTCCCTCCACATGTAAAAGTTTTTTCTGCTTTTCAGTTAGACTGACAGGTTAGGAGGATACATTCTGGACAGGGCACACGACCGTTTCATCACAGACATTTACTCAAAATCCCTTTGAGCTGGCTGTTTGCCTTGGCAATAAGACGGTGTAAAGAAATGTGCAAAAGTTACAATGTCACGTTGTTTTCACATCAAAATAAAACTCAGCCTAGTGCTTGCTTCCCATGGTGAAAATAATGATGGTATTGACTTCTTGCAGATATGAAATTGCTACAGTATAGTCCAATTATCAGTCTAAAGCTCATTTGGAACAGGCTGATAGCATTTGTTCAACTGGCATAACAAAGGCTGACTCAAATGCAAGCAGAATGTTCCTCTGAAGCACATATTGTGCTGCTTATTCAACTCTTTATAGTACTGAACACTTAATTTACAGCTGTTGAAAAAGCAGTTAAGCGCTATACTTATTGTTCTGTAATGCTAGAAAGTTCTTTAGCATCAAGCTGCCTCAATTATCCCATTCTAAAGAATTAATATTACATCTGAAGAAGTATGACTAGCAAGCTGGTTGCCAAAAATCAAACTTTTGAAGATCTGTGCTTTTAGTAAGTTAAATCTTTTAGTAAGTTAATTTCCAGGGATATCTACAGTTTAGTACATACTCAGTGCCGTTTGGTTTTTATTCTGATGTAACATCAGTAGAAAAACAAGTCTGAATTCTCTATAGTAAAGATGTAACTATGGCTGCAGATGTAACTAATGCTTAATTAGCATTAAGTATGCTAGCACCCAAATATCCTTATTAGAATATGGCCTCACTGAGATGGACAATATATTAATAATAATTCAAGTCACTGAAGTGAGATGTGGGCAATGATAGAAAGGCACCATATGAACAGCAGTGCCTATCAGTTTAAATCTCTGACACTTTACAATGATGAGAGCACAAAGGAGCTGGAGCCCATTGCTGGATCACTGACAGTTTCACCTTGAATTCCAGTAAGATGCTGGTAATGGCTATATCTGCCTTTCCAGCCTAGCAGTCTTCTGGTGCTCTGCTGGATTCATTTTCCCAGTTTATTCTGAAACACTGTGTTGCAAATCTTATCTTGCCCTAATAAGCCACAGAACAGGGGTGCTCTGTTTCGTATTGGTTACTGCTGTTTTAAACTGATTACCAGGTAAAATCGCTGTTCCATAAGCACGTTAAACAAATAAGCAAGGAAAATGTTTAGCCAGACTGGTTTTGTAATTACTCCTAATGTCTTGGATGAAAAACTAGTAGTTACTTGGAATGTCACAGAAAATTGTCACAGAATATTTGCCGTGCTGCAGTTAAACAGTGGAAGAAATGCTGGAAAACTGCGTTCTTTTTCCAATCAAGAGTTTCTCTCCTTTAAGGGGTCACACAACAAAAAACAACTGCTCATTTTGTAAGTCACATGCAATTAGAGAAGGGAAGGTGGATACAATAAAAACCCCAAGTTTTGCTCAAGTACATTTGAGTTCAAAACATCAAAGCACAAAACTGTATCAATATTGTGACCAGAACTGCCATAAACTATGCAAGAAAATAAGAGAGGATATTATGGTGTCTCACTTCTAGTACATTTCCTTGACTGATATTTCTCAAAATCCTGGGGGTAAATTATATTGCAGTGTTACCTACATGGAAAGGAAAGTAACATGAAGGACTGTCTTTTAATGAGATATG